GACCGGCGCGCAGGACCGCAGCCGCGGGCCCGCCGGGGTAATCCGCGGAGGAGACAGAAACGTGCCGAAGCAACCAAAAAAAGTAAAACAAACAAAAAACCCAGCATGTCGGCAGCAGAAACCGCCGCGCCGGGGCTGCGCGGCGCGCAGGGTTGGGGGAGTAGACCCCTCCTAAGCGGGTGTCTAGTGTCTGTGGCGGAGCCGGTACGTGTATTCCCGGCATTACTGGTGGGTCGGGAGCCGTCTGTCCCCCAGCCCTTTCCTCCTCCGGGGCAGTGCAGGTCGAAGCTTTTTGCTGCTTGCCAGGAGGAAGGAAAATACCTGTTAGGGTTTTAAGTCGCTCCTACTTCGCTAACAACTGATTTATTCTTGCCATTGCTGCCTTCCCCGTCTTAAATTTCACTATAAACACATTTCATTTGAGTACATCCTTTAAAATAACCAAGAAAATTCCCCCAAGTTTTCCTTTTAACCTTGCTCTCATGAAAGCATCATTATGTCTTGACTTTTTTTAGCCTCCTTTCACCTCTTGTTGACTGTCCTCCATTCAGAACAAATTTGTAACAGAACACAGAGCACTAAGAATCAGAAAAACAAAGTGTGCTAACACTAGAAGTATGGATAACAGCCTGGGTTTTTTTTGGGGGGCAGCCAGACCTGCTCTACAGAAATAACAGCACTTGAAAAGTTCAGTCAAATGCCAGCATTGATTGCTTATGTTCTGACATCATAATAAAAATATTCTACTTAATATACACACAAACAGTGGATGCAGTGAGAGGCAGCATATAGATACGTTATGCTTTGAAAGTAATTTGTTATGACCATCTTATCTTGAGTAAAATAGAGGGGTCTTATGGGGAAACGAATAAAAAACCACTCAGTTGACATCAGTGCACTTTCTGTGTGCCCATGTTTCAATCTTTTAGGTGAGAGTGAGGCATCCTGTCATCAGCATAAGTATTTGCTTTACTTGGCAAAGTAAAGTGCAAATAGTCATGACTAAAGCTAAAATGAAATCAGAAGGTCCCACTGGGATACTTGCACCATAACAGCTAGAAACAGCAGTCCCGGGTCAGAAGATCCCCACTATGGAAAATAATGTATAGAGCAAAATCCCAGTCCCTTCTCTAGTGAACTTTTCAACAGAATGAGACGACTGGTAGCCCGAGGGGGGTTTGCAGGAGAGTACAAGGAAACAAGCATAAGATGTTGCTATTAAAGAGGTTTTCTAGCCCTGAGAGCAAATCACAGTCTAGAACATGCATATTGATAAAAATCCTTTAGAAGCAAGCTTATTCTGTGCCACCTGTAAATTGGCACATGAAAAATCTGTAAGAAATCTTGCTCTGATAAAATTTGTTTTAAAGTAGGTGCTGGCAGAAGTTACCTCACAGGTGTTTTATCCACATATGAATGCTACAGTTCAAGACACAGAACTTTCAGGAACAGAGTAGGAGGACCATGTACAGAAAGCCTGACATCTTCTTTCTTTGGGATTTTTTGGCTTTGTACAATGAGTGCTGCATAATGGAAGCAAAGCCAAGAATATCTGAAAAGGAGCTGCAGAAGAATGTAACCATGTATTTTTCTTGTTTCATTGCAGTCTTCTGTTTCTAATTATAAGCCAGATGCTGAAGTGACTTCATTCAATAACTATTTTGATTTGATCCTGTCTACCACCCTAGTTTCAGACTCACAGTTCCTAAACTCCAGTCATCTATGTAATTCAAAAGCATTATTATAAAATATTAAATATGTCAATTTTTCCCCAGAAAAAGAACAAAAGCCTTCTTATAAAAAAAAGAAACAAATACAATTTCTTTTCTTTTTCAAGTAAAACCTGACTTTCAAAAAAGAGAAGAAAAAGGATTTTTATATGTCCCAAGCTTCCTTCATAAATATCTTTGTATAATTTTCTCTTTTATGAGCATATCAGTACAGTAAAAAGCAAACACTTTATATTTCAGGTATACAAGAAATCTTGTGGACAATGGAAATGGGAAGTTCAACTTGATGATATTGTGCTGGGGTGAAGGGCATGGCAGGTTCGTATCCAAAGACCATGGTTTTAGAAGACAGATATAAAGCTATTGTATCTTTCACTGTCATTCAAAAAGAGAATAATAATCAACCCTATGTGAGCTATCAGAAAGTGTCTGGAAACTAAGCAGTGCAGAGCTCCTACTTGTATAGCAGTCCTGAATATTGTCTATCTTTTGCAAGTCTGTACCTCATGGACATTTTTAGAGCATTCTTTTGAAAATGCTCTGCTTTTCTAAAAAATCTAATCTTCTCTTCTGTCAGAGGAAGCTTTTAGTCCCAGAGATGCAGTGGGTCCTGTGGGCAGGCACCCATACAACACTGGATTGCAAGAAGCAGGACTTGATGCAGTTTAAATGGTCTTTGTTCTCTCATGGTATTTCAAACTTGTCTCTGTGACAAGATGGGAAAAATACGTTTGGGCTGGGACTGCAGGTTGTGAGCAGAGAGCCCCTCTCCAGGAGTACTTGGCTTTCTTTAGGTTCATGTATCCCATTTCCTCCCTCAAAACAGACCATGCTGCTGATGTGGCCTCCTGAGTTGTGTACACAGACTGTATATGGGGTTCTGTAGTCCTACAGACATGAGGGCAGGATCTGTCCCTTGGAGGGTCTATCACAAAATGTTGGCTAAAACAAAATACAGAATAAGATTTTGACTGATTATTCTCGCATATAAATAGAAAACCTAAGGAGATGTTGGAGCAGTTTTTGATTTAACTGAATGTGCAATTGAACATTTACAGTATTCTATAGGGGAGTCCATGACATTATACTCAGAGGGATATAGGAAGCAATACCACTACCTCTTCTCCTTCCGAGCTATTCCCACAAAGCCTGTAATTTATGTCAAACTGTGTTTGAGTTGGATGAGCATTTGCTAGAGCTAGACTGAGACCACAAGTTGGTTTTGCTTCCTATGTGAGGAGGATCAGATTGTTCTCATAGCTTGTGGAAGGATCATGACAACGTGGCATTTGTGAACTGTTCTGTGCCTCAAGCAAGCTCTTTTCTCTTGACATCTCAGTTTGTAATTTTGTTATTATTATCTTGACATCTCAGTTTGAAATTTGTTTACTGAAAACAGTACAACTACCGTACAGTACAAGTACTGAAAACTTAGTACAGGTACTAATATTTTAACTGAAACTCATTTAACACTGTACTTCTGTGAGGGTCAAATTCCCCCTTCTCCCTCATCACTGATGAATGGAGAGCTCTCCCTTTGTCCTAATCCCATTGACTTCTCTAACAGTTAGTCCTCTAATTAAAAAACAAAACCAAACCCCCCAAAACTCAACTACATATCTACTCCATATATCTCCTAATGTAGCAATTAAAATATACTATGGATCAAGGAAACAGATCAAGCAAGCAAACAAATCATACCAGATACTGCTGGTTTGTTCATGTTTTGCCAAAAGAGTGAAATTAACAACTTACTGTAGCTGGTTGTACTTAGTGCTATCAGAGTAAGTACTGCATTTTTTTCTTCAACAAATGCCTGGATCCCCCATCAGTGAAGAGACCATGGAAATTAAGTAGAAGTTCCCCCATGTTTCAGGAGTGATCATGGTAGATCTGCAAGTATCAGCTATACTTGCAAATCTATACCAATCTCTGGCTGGGGTCACTGTGGAAAGAGTAATTTTGTTTCTTGGCCCACAAGAGTTTTTATGTTCTGAAGAATTTTTCTTTCTTCCTCGCTTCTCCAGACTTCCTTTGTATTTCACTGTGACAAAGTCATAGGTTGATCAATATCTGACTCTTTTCCAAGTCCTGCTGTATGTGAGCTTATTTTAATGCATTTCTAAAGTAGCAGTTTTAAGTAGGCATACCTTAGTCACTGTGAATGTTTTTTTCCTAAGGCTTTTGTGCATGACCCTCATGCAATGACACTTCTTTCTAGGGCTATGTCCAGATATAATATACTATGCCATCTGTCCTGTTTGCTGTACTGAAATTAAATATGTGTATCATACTGAGTTTGATTATTCTCTTTACATATATAGCAGCATCCATGATCACACTGACTCACACTGCTTTATGAAGATCCTCCAGGGAAATCTAAAGGAGACACTGTTTGAATGGCCTGAGAAAAAAGGGAATGGTGAAATGACTAAGAAATCAGAACGAGTTTTGAGGGAAAATCAGTGTGCCTACATTAATGGTAAGCTATTAAGCTTGTTTTGACAACTACACATCCATGAGTCTTATTCCTGACAGAGGAGTTCATCTGCTCTCTAGTCCCCTACCTTTAGCAATATAATACTGATGGATTTATGCACAGTTTAAGATCATGCCTCTAGATGCTGCACAACTTTCTTTGGTTCAGTAAAGCAGACAACAAAAAAATATGTCCTTTTAACTCAGTCTTAAGACATTGCAACAATTGTTTGATACTTAAATATGCTGGTTATCTCCTCTAGACCAAGCAGCCTTCAGCACCATATACTGAATATCTGAAATTGCTTGTAAGCATAGACCTTGAATAGTATGTTATGAGAAACAGGGGAACCAAAATTTAGGTAGCTTAATCACCTTCATGTTTTTTCAAGAAATAATCCTTATAGTCAGTCATGGAAATACTAGGTCAAAAATGTAAAAGCTGTCTATAGAATAAATTGATCAGCCAGGAGCAGAGGCTCTTATCCTCAGTGTTACTTCTTGTCCAAATTGACAAAAGACTGTAGTGCTGAAGTGCAGCGTCAGCAGAATTTAAATGCTCAGGTCTACCCAATTTACAAAAAAAATGCCTGACTCCACAGATACTGAGAGGTGACTAAGTCACCAGTAAGGCTCCCTAGATACCTAAATCCATGCCATTGCAGGTATCTGTAACTATCGCCACCTTCTGCCACACCGGAGGCCATCCTGGAATGGCCATCTGGGTGTAATATATTCTGATGCTTTGAAAGATATTGCACATCACACTGAACAGCAGTGAGTTCAACAGAACAAAAGCAAAGCATCAGAAAAGAGGGCCATCTGCCTTTTATGTGATGAGTTAAAAGCCAGAGCATGCAGCTTGTGGGGCTGTTGGTGGGAGCCTTATGTTGGATTCTGGACTAAGACAGGTAAGGGCATTGGGGAAGAAACACTAGTGCTCTAAAGCCTTTTGTTGAAGGTATGCCACATTAAGTGAAAACACAAAATGCATGGGACAGGAAATGAAAGGAGTTTGACACATCTGCTGATGCTCCCATGCCAGGGATGTGGGTTCTCAGACTCAGTCAGGTTTTCTTATCTATACAGTTCTTTTCCAATGCAACCACCCTGTGTGCATTTGAGCCAAAGCTTCCTTGGTTGTTTTAAACAAATTTGGTATCCAGTTCTCTGAGGCAGTTTGGATCTCTGCCATGTTTCATAACAAATGTTTTGGTTTAAAAGAAACAGGTAAAACAAGTAGAAGGAAAACACTGACAGTGTGTTGATTGCCCTAACTACTTCAATAGTGAGTGACCTTCACGTTTCTATTGTGTAGTTCTTGGTTGTTCTTGTACTTTATTCTTAAGGCTAGAACTCACTAAACAATGTTTATTCAAATCTCCATTAGAGGAGCACAGATTTAAGACTTTTTTTTCCCTCTACGTCCTCTGTTTAGATAAACTATTCTAATTACACTTTGGGCTTACACTTCAAATGTATCAGAGTTAAGAGTGTACTCATGATTCTCAAGGTATCATGCCTACATTGCACAACACAGTCCTAGGTATTATATAACATATTAATTCAAGTACAAAGGCCTGAGTTGTTTTTACAGCAGGGTTATAAATCTAAATTCAAGGTCTCTTTTAGGTAACTGAAAAATTCCACTGTAGTGTAGAATGGAAATTGTTTGTTTCATGGATGTAGTTCTTACATTTTTATGTAATATCTTGAATCTACTCCACCATTGGAGAAAGTACCATTACTTCATTACTAACCACACAACAGACAGTGCCTTGTTTTATTACGTGTTCAATTATGCTTACTATTCAGTTAAGAGCTGGAAGCATGCCAGTCACTACTTATTTGTCACCTTAGTCGAAAGACCAGACAAATGAAAAGGCTATTCTCCAAATGAATAAAATGGAAGGATTAATTAGGAAACAGATGCCTGCAGTAGAAGACAATTATATCTCTGTCCGTAAGTCCATGCCCCAAATACACGTAGCTGACTTGTGACTGATATCCTTGTTACCAGGCTAAGAATTAGCAATACAAAAACTTTTTCCCTGCAACGTGTCTTGCTGATTTTTAGAAACACAAAGCTTCCTGCTTCTGGAGCATCTGAAACAGCAGTATACTACTAGGAAATTAAATAACCTTGAAGTCCTTTGGGAATGGTAGCTAGAAAATTATTGACAGCGTGGCCTTCCTTAAATATCTCTGGATTTCTATTGGCCTTTATCCTGGAGCAGGTAATATAGAAGTTACATGAAGTGTGGAAAGCAATAATGTATTTTGAATTATCAGTGTATTTAGGAATCTGTGCTAGAGAACAGCAGTCAAAATCCCTGTACTGAGTTACTTTTTGCCCAAAAAAGCACGGGCATGCCTAACTGGCTTGCTCATGAGTTTCAGTTTAGAAAGCATTTTTACAGCCATCTGTGATCTTGATATATCTTCCCACTAACACAACTTCTTGTTTCATGCCCTTGCTGTTATAGACTCCATTGGCCTGCACCGTGTGGAGAACATAAGCCACACTGAATCTGCTGTTAGCCTGCATTTGTACAGCCCGCCCTTCGACAGCTGTAACACCTTTGATCAGAGGACTGGACACAAGCACAAAGTCAAAATGACTTTCTACAGCCAGTTTGGAGAAAGAACTGTCTGTGTAAGTATGAGATAACATGCTCTCTGCCTGGCCCCAGGCTTTGAGCCCCTGTGGGGCTGGGCATGAGGGGCTTCCCTCTTGCCTGCCCAGGGCAGAGCACCAGTGCCCCAGGACAAGCAGTATGTCCAGCAGCCCTGCCTTCTGCAGGGCATCTCTGCATAGAGACAGGACCAGGATAGAACCTGCTTCAAAATACTCCTCCATTTGTCAAATTGCACCTCCCTCATGTGGAGTTCCCTGCTTTGTAGCTTGACACCTCCTTATCAGGAGGAAATCAGTTCCAAGAAGAGTGGAGGATTAATGAGAATTTTGCTACTAACTAAGCGTCTTCAGGCAGCAAATGATGGTAAATGCAACCTAGTGAATGGAAAACTGTGAAGCAACTACACTGTTTTGGTGAACTTAAGTCATGTGTAACATTTCTTGCCTCAGCTGTTCTGCCAAAAAGCATCACATTTCAAGTCAGTTGTTTTAAACCTTGTAGTTTACTCTAAAGAATTCTTTAATAAATTTATTTGAATTCTTTAAAATTAAGACTTTGACACAGAAAGACTTGCTCTGAGAGTGAGAGTAGGCTGGCTGGCTGTTGTCTGCATTCTTGAGCAATGCCATGAAATTTTATTTGCATAGAAAAGCAATCTTAATATCAGCTTTGGGGGACTAATCTAGGACATCTGGGAGAGCTTAATAGGGTTCCTTTTAGTGCTCTTCCATGCATTGGGAATCATAACTACTTATATGGGGAGAAAAGACAGATTCTTGATGTTCAGCCACAGGGGTTCAAAGACTGTTCAGTTTTGTTAGATACAGAACACTTTCACTGAAGCCAGAAATTCAGTGCTCAGGAGTTTCCTGGAGTGAGCCCTTACTAAGATCCTGTTAAAGTTTTATATAATCAACGAGTACCATGTAAATTATTTCTTTGAAGCTTGTCACACTGCATGATTACAACTTTACCAGACAGCTGAACCACAAACTTTGACCTTCCTGAGTTTTAAAGGTCCTTGAGAAAGTAAACTCAAATTTATAATTCAGATTTTAAAGGGAAATTAACATGGAAAATATTGAACAAAATTCACACGAAATTTCAGTGTTTGCTTGCTTTCTTTTTAAGTGTTTCTTGAATATGAAGTATGTAAGATAGCAAGTGAGACTAGACATTTTGTCTTGGACTATTTTCCTACTCTTGATCTGTAACCGTCTGGCAATGTTACTACCTTTTGTGGGAAACTGGAGCTGGCTTACAGCAGAGAGGTAAATCTTAACCATTGGGTCTCTTTCATGAATTCCTGTAAATGGAATTCCAGTAAGGGAGAAAGTGGTAGCAAGTCTGGGCCCTCCAACTGCCTGAAATGACTTCACACTACAAAAACCTTCTGATCTCAGTGAGGGTGTCTGGAAAGCTGACTAGAAAATCAAGCTTTCTTCTGCTTGCCAGATCTCAAAAAGACATAGGAAGACAGACAGCTATAAGTTAAAAATACCAAGAGAGTAATGTAAAATATACTTGCATATCTTTTATGAGTGAGAAGATCTGTCTAGCTAAAGCACATTCAGTGCTTCCTCTTTGTTTTAAATTTTTCTGCAGGTAAAACACACAGGTAAATCCCTAGTGGCTCCTGGTTATGATAAAGTTCTAATTAACTAACTCCACTAAATACATAACAAGTTATATAACTTGAAATAGTATAGCCTTAAAATAGTATACAGTATGTCCAAGGACTTGCCTGTGGAAGTAACTGTTTACGCACATGAGGTACAAACCATGAGAATACTGATGTGAAATTTCACCAAGGGAAAACTGATTTTGTCTTGGGTGTCACAGCACATCAGTTCCTGCTGCCAAGAATTTTGCTGGGAGAGGTGGTTTCTCTTTGCAGCTTGCCTTCCAAGCTGTACATTCAAGCAGTTTTTGTCAAAACAAAGTAGAGCAGAGTATCAGGGAGAGAAGATAGCTTGATTTTGTCAGGTGCATGGTGTCCTCTATAAAACTAGAAAGGAGTACTGAAAATAAATGCACTAAGTATTTTAAGGCTCTGAGTTATTCGGGGGATAAAGGTGCATGCTGAGAACATGAAGTCGGTGGTGACTGTCTCTTTCCTTAAAACAGCAATCTCTCCTCTTTCCTTTTAGGCAACAGCAGTGCCACAGGAGAACAACTGAGAAGCACCAGCACGTGTTTGCGTAAGACCTACTGAATGTTTAACCAGGGACAGAAGACTTGCATGTCTAAGGCCGACAGCCAGCTATATTTCTACACTTTGTACATAGGAGTATACTAGGGCAGCTTCCAGGCTACCCGCAGTTCTCCTGAGCGAATGCTGATTATGGGACATTAAGCTAACTAGTGCCATAAACTACTTCAGAGGTTAGATGCCTTTTCTTAGGCTCCTGTCAGAATTAAGTAGTTTGTTTTCTGATTCTAGCCTCCTTTTAATTCCACTTCTAATACCACTCTGACAATTCAGAAATAAGGTTTTTAAACATCATCTGACACTACTTAATAGTCCTGTGTGTATGTATGCTCTCCATGTAATTAGTAACTACTATAAACTTCTAAGCTTCCAGTCACTTGTACCTATGGGTAGTACACTAGATACAGCTAGCAGCAGCTTTTGTTTGTTTGTTTGTTTTAATTAAGACTTTTAGGTTTTAATGCTCTAGACCATTTTGATAGTTTCATGCATTTTTTACTTCTTGTTTTTTACAATTTCATTTGTCAGATCTTGTGTTAAATAGGAGCAGTGCAATGCTTCATGCACAATGATTTTCAAAACTGATTGGGCAGAGATTTGGGTTTTTAATAAGACTAATCATACTTAATTCAGCTAATGTCCAGTTTCCAAAGTATTCTGTATACCTACTGAAGAAGGTAACTGAAATAAAACTGGATTTGTGCACATTTCAAAGTTTTCAGCCTTTTTCTCATGGTAACTAAAATACTCATCACACTTTACTAAAACATTCCTCATGAACACCAAAGTCTTTTCCAAGCAGTACACTATTAGGAAAGGCTTTAAAAAGCTGAAAGTATTTCAAACATGCGAAGAATCCTGATCCAAATTAAGTTGGTGGGAGTTCTGCCACTGAGTTCACTGGTGCTTAGTTTTATCCTCCAGATTTAGTTACAAGGAAAGAAACATCTTGGAAAAAGTTAACTCTAATTAAACTTATCAGAATTTTCCCATTCATTTAATGCAGCTAATAACGTAACTGTGTAGCAAGTCCCCTAGTCTCGTACTGACTGCCGGTTAACTCAGGCACCAGTTTAAGTTTTAACAGTATCCTCCTTAGATGAGTCCCATATTTCCCTCCATATTGACAAGCCCAGAAAATATTTATTTTATGAGACCCTCTTTCCCAGGAGGCTCTATTAAATTTCAAAAAAATGTTTAAGCAGTTTTAAAATGAACCTATGCCCTTAGGAGGCAATCACTCCTTGAAGGCAAGTGGGAAAGCAGTAGGTGCTTTGCAAGAGTCTTTTCAGTCTTTTTTTTTTTTTTTTTTTTTTTTTTTTTTTTTTTTTTTTTTTTTTTCAGGGGAGGAGGAAGAAAAGGGGCATGTAAGAAGAAGAAAAAGCAGGCCTAAAGACAAAAGAACAGGGATAAGAATCAGTAGTAATTGGGGACTGTCTGCATGAAGTGGACCTGGAGGCTGTGCCAAAGAGGGGTCAAGGGAATGTGCAGCCCAAAACTGAAAGAAGGATTAGGAACAATGACACTGCAGGCAAAAAGAATCCCCAGTGCTTTTCCTGGGCTCCAGCATACCTCAGTGTTTAGCATGTTTCTTTCTCATTCACTGTGAACCAATTCCTGAAAAATCTTGTCAAGCCAGATGTTGGGCTTGAGCTTCTTCATTTGTCATGGATCAAGTTATGAGAGTGGCACAGAACCAGAGCTGAGCTGAGGCTGGCAGTCCAGGTAGCTCAGGACTGTCTAGTTTGGTTTTGAGTATCTCCAAGGATGGAGGCATCACAGCCTCTCTGGGAAAACTCTTCCAGTGTTTGACCACCTTCACAGTAGAAAAGCCTTGCTTTTAGACAAAATGTCTTGCATTTCAGTTTGCATCCATTGCTTCTTGTCTTCCTCACCATTCCCACAGGAAATGAACAGTTTCACTTAACTTCAAATATAGCATATTCATTCTGATTTTGCTTACTAGGTAAAATTAAAGGACAAACCCAATAGCTTGTAGATCACTGATTTAGTTGGGTCAAGGGAACTGAAAAGATCAGAGAGACAGCCAAGAAGCACAGCAGCAATGACAGCAGCTAGCTGTACCAAGATCCATTGATACAGAAACTTAGGCAGTACTTCAGCTAGCCACACACGTGCCTAGCAAGGGAGGCAGGGAAAATATAAGCAGAAAAGTTAATAACTATCTACCCAAGTTGTCCTCAAAACTGTTTAGCCACAGTAAATGTGACATCATACACTGCAATGAATAATACAGTAATTTCAGTGTTTCAGACATAGGTGCTTACCAGGTACTTATTCCTGCCATACCAGAAATATAAGGGAGTAATCTGTCCAACATAAAGGGCACAAATACAGGAAACCTCTAGAGAAATGATTAATTGGGTCCAGAGTCCTTAGAATGCCAAAGCCGGCACTTTGCTACTTGCTAAGCACTAGCTATGCATCTTGTGCTCTGTACAGCACAAGCATAAAGCTGATAAGTACCAAAAGTAATATTTAATCAATAAATATCAAGCAATATAATGAGAAATAGACTCACCTTTTCCCCTACACAAATAAGTTCACATAACCTATGTTGGTTTAAAACACAGAAACAGTAAGAACAAAATCGTTTTTGCACATTGTTATGGCTGAACAGGCAAAGTATTAAACCTTCTGGCACATGAAAGTACTCAAGCTTTGGAGTAGTGCTAAATAGCCAGCTGATGAGTTAGCAATATGCTGTAGGCTGACAACTAGCTTTCAGTGGGCAATGAACAGATGTTTAGTGTTTCATATTCTTTCATCTGGGAAGATGCTATTGAGCAGTGTCACTGTAAACTGAAGAGAGTTTTTCACATGTGTTTCGGTTTAAATCCTTAAGTGGTAAAAGATACTGCCCTAAATCACTAATACTACTAAATCATTCAGGTTGGCAACAGCAGGAAGAACTCAGCCTAACTATGATTTGGTGTATTAACTAAGATTTCAGTGAAGGAGCTTCAACAGAAAGACATAGGGATGCAAAGTAACATCAGGAGTGGAACAAACAGCAATATCTACATGAATTCAGCAAATTGCAAGGGTTTGGTGGTTTTGTTTTTGTTTTGGAGAGTCATTATTAGAGACTTCGCAGTAGGAGAAGTTGTTTATCAAAGACATGTTTTACATGGGAAGGCTAGTAGCAAAGAGTCCCTGGGAAGGCATATGCCATATGCAAGGGAAAAGCTGACAAGAGGGACTCTTCTGGGAATGAAAATGCTATCTCTGTCTGTGTAACTATGGTTGATGAGAACTAGATTAACAGAAATACAGGACATGTGGGAGTTTTCTTTCTGGGAGTTTTCCCCTATGTATAACCAGCACGTGAGCAGCTCTTTTTCTTCCCATGATGAGAGGTATGGGAGCTCTGAAACCTCTAACAGGAATTGTTGCTCAGAGAGGGTCCCTTGCTGCATAAACAGTTTCTTAATGTTCTTGTGGATAATTGAGCCTAGAGTTTCTTTGCCTAGAGTTACTTCCTGTCTAACTCACTACAAAATCTTAGCATACGTAAATTTGTTATTTAAGCCTGGGTGACAGTCTCTTGATGTTTGAGCATTATTCCTCTTCATCCATTGTTGATGTATAGAGGAACAGAGCAGAATCAAAGTCCGCTCTATATGTAACCCTGATTCCATTACAAAGTTTTTTCTCTAAACCATAGAGATACAATATGTGTTATTCATTACCTAATCTTTATAGTTATTTTTTCACACTCCTCTCATGGCCAAGAGAAAGCTGTGTAGCCTTCCCAAGGTTAAAAGAGGTGACCTGTCTATGACTCTGTTTGCAGAGACAAGTAGAACAACGTGAAGTTCAGTACTTTTCAACCATACTACGTATTCTGCTCTTTCCAGTTTAGCTTATGAAAGACTTTGCTGTCCTTAAATGTCAGAGAGTCTTATGTTCCAGTCATGGACAGTAGCTCTAGCCTCTCCAGCTGGTAAAGGAAGAAAAACCAACAGTTGTGCAGGCCTTCACGACTAGTTCTGGCCCTTGTAGCTCATGTTAAGCTTTATTCAATAATTAGATCTCAAATCTTTGAATCCCATGGGTACTTTACGCTACACTACACTACAGACAAATGCTTCTAACTTAATGGATTGTTCCTGCATGCTAAATAAGAAAAGTTTTGACTTTTTTAACAAATAATGAAACACCTTTTCCAGATCTATTTTCTCTTTGTTTTACTCTCCAATTCACTAAAAATCATTGGTATAGACAGATGAGTACATTATTTTCTCATAAAGCCTAACTTCTTGACAGCTGAGGTGTGCCTCCTTCCTGTTTTATTGTAGATTCAGAGGAACACTTAATGTGAAAATGGACTCTATTTGCACTTCAGTTCCCAGTAGGAAAAAAAATTCTTTTCTGAACCACAAAGATGAAGTGTATATGCTGTTCACTGGCTCATGTTTTGATTTATTTTTCATGACCATCCTGCTCTTGATTTTAGATTTATATTATTTCAGGGCCCTGTGTTCTCCTTGATCTAGTTTAGCTAACTGGCTGACCTATGACCAGTTGTGGTGAAGAACATTTTAAAACATGATGATTAAATGTGAATGAATATATTTCTTAGGGGATGAAACCTCATTAGCCTGCTTCCTTAATTCATAATTAGAGAAGCAACATAAGAGGATTGTGTGGCACATGCTACTCTGATCTGGCCAGTTTCTCTGAGAACCACATGAATCACAAAGCCATGAGCATAACATGTTCCATGACCAGAAAGCAAAACTGCCCTAGAAGACAGCTACGTCCCACTCTCTGCTGCTACTCAGTATTTAGATTCAGACCCTCCGTATCTCTGTTTTTTTTTTTTCATTTTTGCTTGCTTTTTAAATCACTCTTTGAATGCAAAGCGTTTGATTTTCTTGTCTAAAAGAAAGTATAGTCTTGTCTTGACTATTTCAGGAAGCTCTGAGAACAGCAGCCAGAAAAATGAACCGCCTCTTCTCTCCCTAGCTGAAAAAGATGCCCCTGAAACACATCACCTGTTTGCAGTAAGCACTCTGATTAAATAAGCATGCTGAAAAATACTTTTTCCCTTGTTTCTATCTGCAGGCAAATACAAAGCTTTGCCCTTAAGAGAACTGCAAAACAGCTGTGTGAGTGCTTGGCGCTAGGTGCAGAGACCTGTTGATCACTCACTTAAAGGGTGGCCCTGAAAGTGCATGTCCTCAGCATAAGGACAGGCAATCCTGAGGAGCCAGAATAGCTCTGGAGATTAGAGAACTACTCTGTAAATGCTGAGGGTCTCTTGCTACTGCAAAGACCAAGTTCACCTGAGGTTTGGTTACATATGATTACAGAAACCAAGGTTTGAACATTTCACTGAAAAACCTGCTGGGAAGCACTCAGGCCTGTGGCATATGGCTATTCCTCTGTCAAAACTAGGCCTCTGAATGGGCCTGGGATAGCTGATATGAGAATATTGACCGAGCATATTCACAGGGAAGAAAACAGCATTTGTAAAAGCCTGCTTCAAAGAAAATGTGCAAAATAGCCCTGTAAACTCAGAGGCTGGATGAAGCCTTATCACCTTTTTGGGATAGATCTTTACTCAATATAGGTTGGAATAGCAATGCTGTCATCAACCAATTTATGTTTCACATTGGTTGAAACAATGCATCCTATTTTAAGACTTTACTGAGACTCTTCATTTTGGTTACGTTTATTACCT